TCATAAATATGCACGTCACGTTTCATTTTATTTATTTATTTTCCAAGTTCCATTCGTGAGTCACGCGCAGTACCTCGCGTCGAAATAACCCGGAAACACCGAATTCATGCGAAATTGCAAACGTTTTGAAGTGAAAAGATATATATGTATTTGTGGAAGATCTGCTTCGTTAAATCGATCGAGGAAAATCTTCCGTACTATCGTAATTAACCGTGTTTCTCTTCTTCGCTGCAGTTCGATCTCTTTCGCAAAATGAATCGAGAAACAACCGATCCGGGGCTCTCCGCAGGGAAATTCAGGCCGGAAACGCAAACTTTCCGTTATCGTTTCGTAAAAGCCACCTTTCCCGCAGAAGAAGAAACAAACTGGAATCGATTTTCGCGTGGAGACAGCGAACTAATGTAAATCTTGCGAATCGTTATTATTATACACAAAAATAACACGGCTGAAATCATTAAACAGTTCTCACAAGCACCGAGAATGTTCTCCATTAAATATCAACGTTACACGTTTTCGTTTTTTTTCTTTTTTTTTTTTTTAATAGTTCTCGTTATTTTTCGCCGGTTTTTCCATTCGCTTTTTTTCATAAAAAATAAATAAATAAATAAATAAAAAGTGAAAAAAAGGATTGAAATGGAATTTAGGTACTTTTTTATTCGACGCCGGATCGTCTGCCGTGATTATCGCTCGACAAAATAAAACAGTCAAAAAAACGTCGATGAAATTCCTGGATTGAACCGCGTCGGTTTTGTATTAAACGCTGGGCATTCCGCGAACGAGGGAAAATGAAAAATCGGACATCGGAGTGTCCTTTCTACGAAACGATTTTCCGAGTGAACGGGGACGCGATGGGGATACTGTGTTTGCGTTCCATCGTCGCGTTCCAGAAAGTTGCCATTAATCCAAGAGCTCGTGCTTGTGTTTTTCTTGCGACAAAGAGGCAAGGTCAATAAACATGTCTGCTCCGTCGGGAGAGAAAACAGAAAATGAAATTTGGGGTTTGGCGGAGGCGAAGAACAAAGCGCTGGACGAAACTCTGAGCAGGCTGTTTTCGATTTTCGATGCGAACGAAACGGATCTATGATCTATGATCCGTGGCGTTACCGCAAAATGCCATTAAGCTACCGTTATCTCTAGAATAACCTAGCATTGCCGAGGTTGTAATAGGGAGCGCGTCACAAAGCGAACATTATCGCGTACCGCCGATTTGATGCGCGAGCTAAATGCGGATTGCCAATTAGCGGTCTTCGCTACACGTGCATCTGCTTAATCTCCTTGATCGTGCCCCGATCTCGTCCCATCGACTCCTACGCACGTAACGTAGCGATTAATTCTATTTGGCGAAGTGGCTCGATTGGAATCCGCGAGATCTCAAGCAGGATAGCTCTGCTCGGATAATGCCGTCTCGAGTAAAAAGGGGAACCTGTCCATCCGGAAGGTTTAAATTAGATAGGTTTAGGTCATACTTCGATCTTTATATATTTTGATGAAGATATTTCAGATACACATTTAAGAATATCGCGTATGCAATCGCTTTGGTACCACGAGCTATTTAAAAAACCATGTTGGATAGTGCCACGACAGCGCTTTCTTAACTCATTGTTGACTGGTCACGAGTTAACTCGTGTTTGCACTTGCATTAGTTACTTTAATTTTTGACGCTCTGGACATTGTAATGCAGGATATTGTGAAATCTTTCTTCGGCTTGTTCAATCGTGTTCACTTTATTATAAAAAAAAAATTACTCTTATTGATACTTAGGTTTATTATAAAAAAAAAACTACTCTTATACTTTATTATAAAAAGAAACTATTTTTATACTTTATTATAAAAAAAATTACTCTTATTGATACTTAGGTTTCTGTCGCAATTTTAGCGTTACAAAAATTTCAATAACCGGTCCTGACGGTGAAGAACTTTTCAATGAATTATATGCAGACGCTTTATCTGATTGTCCGAGTGATTTTATAATATAATGTAGTGATCTGGAAATTGATAGTTTATCGGAAGATAGTTATGAATGTCGGATATTATACCTCCAAAATGGCAAACTTGCAAAACCTGTTGTGTATCATTATACATATGTAGGTGATTGCTGTGCAATTTATTACGCCAAAAGAAAATTACTAAAATATATTATACGTATGAAATATAACATATAACATAGAAGAGATGTGCAAAGTTTTATTTAAATGCATGACTAAGGTACATATATTGAAGTTTCATACTCAATTACGAAATAATAGCCGGTGACATCAGGCAGCTTTTGCTTAAAATTGCCGGTCGACAATGTGTTAATGTAACTGCGAAGAAATGTCGATAAAACAGAAATAAAAGTGGAGAAAGTAAACAGAATTATTTATGCACGTGGTTTAGGTTTAATTGAGAAAAAAAGTAATTAGGCGAGAATGCTTCGATATGACTGACCACGCACTGTAATTGTAAACTGTGACAATATTCAACGCGAAATCTGAACAGCGCGATCGAACGGCGTGGCACTAGAGACGTTTAAACAGCACGAACGTCTGCTTCTCTCTACGCGGTAATCTTCTCGGCAACGTCACGCTGTACCACGCCGTTCACAAAAGCAAAGCTGAAGAGCTTCCGCCGGCAGCCTAGGCAACGAAGCGCCGACATGATGCAGTGACATGGTTGCTTGTTTAGCATCGCGTAGTTTCCCTGACATCGCGGACGAAAGCGGCGTACGCCCAAAGGGTTTACACGCCCTTGCTTGAACAACGCTGCCTATGAGTTCCATAAATTCGCGCACCGCTTGTTGGGCTAATATTCGCGTCGATGTTCGAGAGAGAAAGAGAGAGAGAGAAAGAGAGAGAGAGAGAGAGAGAGAGAGAGAGAGAGAGAGAGAGAAACCGTTGGCCTGTTTCTTCTTCGTTCCAATTCGATCTTCGTCCAATCTTTTCGATGTTCGATGCTCAGCGTCGCTTAAAAATTCTCTCTGTTGCCGTTGGTCAACGTCGTTGGAAATTTCGAAGCCGATATTGCTAGATGAAACCTGGGAATAGTTTTCCACTCTCTTTAAATATCAAATCTCCCCCCTCCCCCCTCCCCCTCCCCTTACACGAGCCAATATTTCGCTGTCAAATACAATAGATGATATCAATATTTGCGGAACGCCACAATCACTTTTCTACCAGTTTGCAAGACTGGTCGACTATTTGTTTTTCCCATTTTTTTTTTTTTTTTTTTCATTTGATTGAAAGAAATACCACTGCCAGCGTAATAAATGTTTGGCCTGGCGGTTTTCGCGACATGCGTAGCGTATTAATCGCGATGCCGCGTACGTTGTCCGGCACGTTACACCGGCAGATCGATACATCCCCTAATATAATTCCAATCTGTCGTAGGTCAAGCTCCATGTTGATTAAGTTCAATAATTGGATAACCCATTATTGCGCAAAGTACTGAATTCCGATCGACCGGAGCGCACTTTGACGAAATGACATGTCAATCTGATTAATTTCAACCGGCGAGATGGAGGAGGACTGACGTTTGCCATCTCAAAGGGGCACTCGCAAATTTGAATAGTAGAGCGAAACCTTTGGTTTCTCTTTTCTTTCTTTTTCTTTCCTTTTCTTTTTTTCTTTTTTTTTTTTTTTTTTTTTTTNTTTTTTTTTGTTTGAAGCGAAACCACGCTCTGGAAATTAGCATCTCGATTTGTGGCTCTTCTGCGCCAGAGAGATATGTAATTAAGTGGAAATTGCTACCGCCGGGCAAAGCCTCGCGACAGGAAAGGAAAGAAACGTGCGAAATACACGCTTCTTCACTGTGAAAGTAACTCTTCCTTCTGCGATCCTGCGATCGCGGGCTCGACGAATGACAGAATTGAATTTATCCTACCAGAAGATGAACAAATATCATCAAAGAAGTGGAACAATTATTATCAAAGCAATTTCTAAAAAGTGTACAAAATCTATAGATCCACGCCAGTTCAGGTTTCGCCAACAACTCGTGTGCAATAAAACCGAAGTGTCACTCGCAAGAATTGACTTGAGATTTGGTTTAAATAGCTTAAAATCGAAATGTCAGTCACAAGATTTTGACTTGAGATTTGGCTTAAATAAAGTGTGAAAGGTTGTAAACTACCTTTAAAGTTGGAACTCCAAAATTTATAATATTTCGTCAAATATCTCGGAAATCACTGAAGATAGAGCTTCTGTGTAAATCAATGATAGTGTTTCTTATCGACGAATTTAACGGCATTTTCCATTTTGCGAAAAAACCATTTGTTTAAACAGTATGTTCAAGAAAGCGTATTCTTTATAATTTTTTGTCTCCGAATAAATGTTAATACATTTCTTTGAATATTTATTTATGAAGACTAAACATTCAAGCACAAATTATAGATAAATTGGACTCTTGATTTTTGCATGACGAAAGAATTCATTATTTACCGAAGAATAGTCAATCTGTTGCCATCTATTTAATAATTGGAGCTTCTAACTACGAATATACTGCTAATTTTTCTAGATTGACTCTAGTTGTCGAGCAACACATATATTTTATAAATTTTACGTGGTGCCCATTGTTTGTCTAATTCTTTCTCTTTCATATGCCACAAATATAACAGAAAACATAAAAAATGCTCGTATATTTATTCAAATGAGGCTACTAGTTTAACTAATAAAACAAGTTCTTATTATTTTCTTAGAGAAGGATTTAGTTGATAACCAATCGAACTTTACTTAACTCTTTTGTTAGGTAAAGTAGGTTTGAATCATTCGGGAGATAATTACAATTTAAAGACAGGTCAAATTTCACCGATTTCGATTATTTCAAAAATCAGAGTCAATTGTGCCAATCCAGCCAAAGTGAATATATCAATCAAGATCCTCAAATATTATATAAATTGATCTTAAACCTTCGACAATATGAAAAAAATTTGTTATTCCTCGCTGTCATTTCCTCGCTGGACGTGCGAAGCAGGTGTACACGTGTACAAGTAAGTATTTCGAATAACGTTCGTGTGATTCTGTTTGCAGCGACGTGTCGGTGTCGTCGAGCGTTCGGGAGTGGCTACGCTCGCCAGCGTTCGACGCGCGGCAGTGGGAAGACGAGGAGCTTCTGCTGATGCTGCAGACGATGTTCGTCGAGCTGGACCTACCTCAAAAGTTTAACATTCCTTTACCAATCCTGAGGAACTTCCTCTACGAAGTTTATAACAACTATAACGAAGTGCCGTTTCACAACTTTCGGCATTGTTTCTGCGTGGCGCAAATGGCAAGTACACGAACCTGAACGTCTCTGTCGCGTTACACATGTACGTACGTACGGGTCTCTGCGTTTGATTGCCACGTATTTCGTGATTCTACCGGTGGATCTTGCAAACACGACCTGGAATTATAATCCAGGAATGTTAATTAAATTCCTGCGATATCTTGGAGTAAAACGGACGAAGATGGCGGGTATCAGCGGATTTTCGTATGCCACGCGCGTGAGATTTTAATTAAAGCGACGACGATATAATATAACGATGACGTTAAAATATAATTATATTGATCGTGACACGAGAAATAGAAAAAAAGAAACAATCTGGAAATTTTAATTAATATCGTGTCTACGCAGATGTACGCGATAGCCTGGGCAGTGGATCTCCCGTCTCGGATCGGCGACCTGGAGGTTTTTATATTAATCGTCTCCTGCATCTGCCACGACCTAGATCATCCAGGATACAACAACATTTATCAGATAAACGCCCGCACTGAGTTGGCGCTACGTTACAACGACATCTCGCCGCTGGAGAACCATCATTGCTCCGTAGCGTTTCGCGTCCTCGAAGCACCGGAGTGCAACATACTGGCGTCGTTGGACAACGCGACATACCGTGTCGTGCGCGAAGGCATCATCAGATGTATACTCGCGACGGACATGGCCAGGCACAACGAGATCCTCGGCCAATTCACCGACATCATCCCGGAATTCGATTACTCCAGCAAGGCTCATATCAATTTGGTAAGCTCTCACTTTTCAGTCTCTTTCGTTCGAGAACTATCGGATTTTGTATTTGTTTCTATCGGAAAGAAGTTTTAGAGGAATTTAATGAATTGTCGTTTAGTGTAGTGATGAAGATATTAATAGGAATTTCAGAATTCTTTCTTGCAGAAGAAAGAAGATGAAGGCTCGTGAAATTTAATATAATTCGAATTAAAATTCATTAATTTGACGAATGATTCTAT